CACACACACACACACACACACACACACACACATACACACCTCAGGGACGAGTGAATCATAATTTGGAATCAATCCCAGAAAATAAAACTCTTATTTTCCGGTTTCAGATGATCCAGTAGGATCTCGTTTGATCCCATTATGATCCCTGTTGTTTGATCCCAACCCAACTGAACACATTCCTCCATTAACTAGCTGGACCCACACCAAAATACCAAAATAGAGTCAAAAAACAACAAAACGTAACGTGTGAATCACTGAATCACTTTATGTTCGAACGCGGCACATTAAGCGTTTAAACGCCGCTGCCGTTCGCTACATAACCTTCAGCCTGCCAGTTTGTTTATTAATATATGGATCTGTGATACAGTATCCGTTCATCCTGTAGGCTATGTCGGATATAAAATATCGCTGATATAACAGCGCGCGGAACGCTATTATTCCCACTAAGAAATTTCTATTGCCGTTTATTCTAAACATCCCTTGCGTAACATTACACGACTATAAAACAAATACACAAAGGTTAGATAGGCTATTAATCTTATTCTGGCTTAGAAACGACATAAACAGAAAAGAATACCGCCGCGATCTTTTGTATCGAAATGAACGTTCCACGTTATCGCGGCTTAATCGCATCGCGGCCGTTCCAGTCTATCGCTGCGATGATGGTTACATTGAATCGAATAATTGATCAGCGTCGCTTTTGTCGATTTCTTACCTCAGCAGCGAGCGTCGACGTCGCGGCCATCAGTAACATGAAAAGCTCTCGACAGCCCATTCTGCGTGCTTCCAGCAAAACGCGATGCTCTGTATATCGACTAAATTATCCGTTTGGTGTAAGATGTCGGTGTGTGGATCGCGTCGGCTTTGAGAAGAATGCGATGATCATGCGATGATCCTGCGATGGCGAGTCAGAACAGCGCGTCACCATGTACGGGAGGGGGAGCGGGGAACGGAAAAAATACTGGCAACTACAATTAAAATAAAATCAAAGAATGCACTATTTTATTCTAACTTATTTTTATTTTAATCTAAATATATTTTACTATTTATTTTATATGCATTTGTATTTATCTTATTATTTATTTCATCTTGAGATTATTTATATCAGCTTTTCCGCTTGCATAGCCTACGTTTTATGCGTAATAACAAAAATATTTTACTCTTCAGTCAGTTCAATCTGTTTTTCAATCAGTTATTTATTTTTGACTTAGGCCTAATTGTAATTTTGTGTTTTATTATGTTAATTTTTAAAATGTAATTGGTTTATTTTTTACCTTAATCACTATACAATATGAGGCATTGCTCATCTAATGCATGCATTTTATTTATTTAAATTTATAAAAAGGAAATCAAAACATTAAAATGTATTGGATTCTAGATTATGTTCAAACTGGAGAATTTAATTATGCTCGTCTATGTTATTTGCTGCCACCGTGTGGACGATCATGAAAACATTATTATAAATGTGTAATAGTCTAGTTCGGTAAATTCTCATATTCCATATTTCTAAAATAAATATTTGTTATATTTTAATGTAGGCTACTTTCTTGGATGTGCATGCAAATTAGCTTTCAAAGACCTCAAAGAATAAAATATCTTGCTTATATATGTATGCACCACACTGGAAAACGCGAGCATGCAGCCTTCAGTTTTATTATGAAAAGTAAAAACAGACATAAATTGCATGAATGTTTTGCTGTTTGGACACAATCGGTGAACAGTTAACTACACCTGGTGTGTTTTCGTAACAGTAGCCAACTACAAATACAACTTGCTCTTTCAAAATCCTATGAATAAATACACTTACCATATTATTTCCTCAGTTGATCAAAATTAATCATGACACTCAGATACATTTTAGGTATGTATTTCCATTTGACAAAGAAATAACACTGATATTCAACAACGTATTTACATTGTGGAGTTTTTAGGCTTGTCCTGGTCTCATGTTGCCTAATAAGGTTTATTAGTGTTCATTAGGTTTCTGAGACCATAAATGTCCATGTCATAAATAAAAATACTCCAATCCTTGTGTAAGAATCATCTTTGTGCTGGTCGAGTGAATGAAAATCCCTGCTTTACTGACAGAGCGCCAGTCTGGCATCTGTGCAGGCATTTTTTACTTTAGTGCATTATTTTGTGTGTCCTCTCAGAATAGCACACACATGGAGGCTCATTTGCGGCTGTAGCCTGGATAGGGTGGAGGTGGAGAGTAGTTTGTCGCTCTGGGTGGAGTGGGAGTGTATGGAGGCGGCCGTAGATCAGGAGGATACATCTCATAATCGTAGCTGTAAGGAGGTGGAGGACCTGAGAGCAATGAGACAGAACTGGAAATTAATGCTGCGTTTACAGGAGCAACAAGCAGGAGAGATTCATAGGCTCTATTAATATTTGCAACATGCAAAACTGTCAAATATTACCTTATATGTGAGCCTGGAACACAAAAGCAGTCTTAAGTCGCTGGGGTATATTTGTAGCAATAGCCAACAATACATTGTATGGGTCAAAATGATAGATTTTTCTTTTATGCCAAAAATCATTAGGATATTAAGTAAAGATCATGTTCCATGAAGATATTTTGTAAATCTCCTACCGTAAATATATCAAAACTTAATTTTTGATTAGTAATATGCATTGCTAAGAACTTAATTTGAACAACTTTAAAGATGATTTTCTCAATATTTAGATTTTTTTGCACCCTCAGATTCCAGATTTTCGAATTTTGTCCTATCCTAACAAACCATACATCAATGGAAAGCTTATTTATTCTGCTTTCAGATGATGCATAAATCTAAATTTCACAAAATTGACACTTATGACTGGTTTTGTTGTCCAGGGTCACATATTATAATCGTTATGAGGAAAAGCTTTAATTATTGCTTAACATGTTCATTATGTCTGTTTAACTGAATACAAGATGTTTACTAACCACATAGCCTATATTCTCTTATTTTTTAATTTTTTTATTAGTTTATTTAGATAGGGACAGTACACATTTTTTTATTCCAGCCAGAAAAAGCTAAAAAAAATTTTTTGTAGAAAAAAAAAACAACACTTTACCAAACCTACAGTATTAATTTGATATGCCCATTATATATATATATATATATATATATATATATAGACGTACATACAAAAAGTGACCTATATTAAAGTTACTCCCAGCTGTGGCAACATACAGAGAAATTAAACAATTTATTACAATTTCTTAGATATGCATACAACTCTGAATTATAGTGTTATCTTTCACATTTTGATTTAAGAGTAGCCCTAAACTTAAGTTTTGGCACATTTAAATGGTCAAAATATGCCAATTTTAATCTTATTATGCAAATATGTAAACAAATATGCAAATGTTCATCTTATTAAATATTCATAAATATGCAAGTGTTATATACGCAACTAATAAAAAAGTGATATAGACTTGATACAGAATGTCATAGCTTTTAAGTTTAGTTTTATTGTTGGTAAGGTGTTTGTAATTGTCAGAGAATTGTGTGAAATGGTTGTTATAGGATTTATGAAGGTAAATTTAAGACTTCAAGGCTTTTTAAGACCAGGTAAAGAGCATTGAAGGGAAAACAACAGATAAATATATGTGTTTGAAATGTGAATGTCTTGTATAAGCAACTTCCAAAAGATCGCCATTGCTCTTTAATTCATTTTACACACACAAAAAAAGTTACTGTTAAATATTGTTTAAACAAATACAAAAAAAAAGGGTGATGTGTTTTATCAATATTTTTGTCGTGTATTCCAGTGCAAATATCTAACGATTCTTAAACAAAGACACATTTACTTTAGAAACGAAAAGTCTTGTTTTCTGGGAAATCGATCAAATGAAGTGAGTTTATGATTTAAACAAGAACAAATATCAGCCAGTGGACTCAGAAAAATCTACTTAATTCAAAGGGAAAACAAGTTTTCATTCCCCATTGATCTTGTTTTAAGCATCCACTCACTTCGTTTTGTTCAGTTTCTCAGAAATCAAGACTTCATATGTTGATTTTGCATTTTGCAAATATATATTTGTTGATATTCATGCCATGACTTTATGAAATTCTGCCTTTTATTAATTTCTTAAGTCTTTGCTCTGATTTTTAAGGCTTTAATTTGTGGAAAGGCAAATTAAGACTTTAAGACCCGTATAAACCGTGTCTTAATTTAATGCTTTTTGCCCTTGAAATTAAATAACAATAGTTGAAGAAATGTATTTAAAAATAGAATACTGTTTAGGAAAAGCAAATAGTGAAGGTGATTGAAAATCTTAAAAAGCCAAGTCACATTTATTTCTAGAGTGCTTTATACAGTACCGATTGTTTCAAAGCAGCTTTACAGAAATAACCAGTAAAATAACAGCGTTAATGCTGCAAAATTCACCAATAATGAAACTACTTCAAAATCAGCTCTGTAGAAAACAATAGTATCATTATTCAGTTCAATGTTGATTCAATTCAGTTTCAGTGTTGCAAAATAAGGCCTTTTGAAGCTCTTGTGAAACAAAGTTTCATCAGATATTAAAAGTTCTTTATGGAACCATTTAGACAAAAAAAAAGTTATTTTATGGCATCGTGAAGCATCTTTATTTTTAAGAGTGTAATACACTTTACTATAGTATGGTTCAAAAACACTAGTATTTGCTATAGTATTTTTTCATGTGGGAAGTGAGATTATATTCTCACCTGATAGTGTCAGTGCAGTTAAACGGATAGCATTACTGAATATGAATTGATTATAAGTGCAAGTTAATTTGACTGAATCCACTCCAGTGATCTCTTGTGTGCTGGTTTAGCATGTTAGTCAGTGTGAAGGCTTGTGTGTGTTGTTGTGTTACCTGGGTAACCCTGAGTCACGGTGTTGATGTACGACGAGCTGAAGACGCCCACTCTCGCCCCGCGGCCGTTCTTCACACACATACAGATGCACAGAAAGATGGCGGCCACCGCGCCCATCAGAAACACCACGCCAAACACGATCCCCGAGATAGCCGTTCCCCTGAACAAACAAAACTGAGACTAACATCCGCTGCAGAGGACTAGTGATGCTCGATTCGTCAAACACTAACTACCCGTTTCATGGCAGGATAAGCTCAATATTTGCATAGACCACCCATGCTCTTATTTATTTGTCTCCTGATGGATCCCGTCCCTTTGTGAGTCAACGGTGATCCGTCTCTTGAGCGATCAGGCACCTGACTAAACACGGCACAAAAGACCAAATGTGTTGCTTTTCAATTGTCATTTTGAGTTTGGACGAATGTGGGAGCGAGAGACTGATGCCTTGAGGTTTGGTTAAGATCCAACCAAAGCATCTGAGATGCTCACGTGAGGAGAAACATCTAAGAAACTAGGGGCGTTATAATAATTGATTCTCTCTTCGAAGATTCTGAGCTTGTTTTTTTCCCCACATATGGCATGTGTGTGTTTGCACTTAAGTTAAATGCACTTGCATCTCCGAATACTTTTATGATACGAAATTGATCAGTTGATTTCAGAACAGAACATCTGCTATGCGGAAACATATCTGTGCATTAGTGTGAATGCGGCTTATTAAAGCTGCCACTGTTTATGATTTCATCAGTAATAATCAAACAGCAATAATGCTGAGGAAAAACTATGATCATAACTATGATTGTCTGTAAACTTTCGGATACTTAAAAGCACTCTCAGATACTGAAAATCATTTGTAATAGTCTTTTTCCCCCTTTATTACTTTATGTGTGCTTATATGTTTTGAAGCTATATTTAGTTGGTTAAATTCTTAACAATTGTTTTGATTTATTATTAATATGTAATTATTTAAAAAGTAGCCTGCTTATATAATTTAATAAAAATGCACAACATATACATTCTAAAAGATTTTGCAGACATTCTCATTAAATGTTATTTCGGAATGTTCAAAATGTCCCTTTTT